CCGCCCAGACAGATTGGATACTACTCAGTGGAGATTCTACCTTCCTCCACACCCTCTGGATCTAGGTTCCCTCTTAAAAGCTTGTAAGCCTGTCACTTCTTGCCTTTGTGGCCCCCCATTTTGGGTAGCGGATCTATGTGAGTTTTGCTGCAACTAAAAAAAGCAAAGTCTAGAACAGTATGTGCTATTTTAAAAAAGGGAAAGAACATAAATATGTATTTGCTTGTATTAAAACATCTCTGAGAAGGATGCACAAGACACTGTCAGCTGTCTGCAGAGGACTGGGGTCTGATTAGGGACGGAGATGACAGGGACTTACGTATAACCTTATACTTTCCTTGAATTTTGAGCATACGAGTAGAATTTCAATCCAAACTAAATAAAAAAAATTAAAAAAAAAACAACAAATGCTAGATCACCAAAGATAACAAAGAAATTCTGAATATCAGTCTCAATGAGAGTCTTGTCTGGGCCCAATAAGGGGCAGGTACCAGAGAGGTTGGTAGGCTTGAGGAGATGGGGGGTAAGAAAAGTTTTCCGGGACCAGTGAAGGCTCATTCATAGCACAGTTTTCGCCCTATGATTAGATCAAACATTAGTTGAGGAGGGGCCTGGGTCATGGGCCTCAGAATCCAAGAGGGTGTGACCACGACTTCATTACCAGAGCCCAGAACCTGGGTGGAGCCTCCTGGCAATGCCAGAGAGGAGGGAGGGCAGCCCTGCCATTGGCTGCCATGCGGTGGAAGGAAAATGCAGACCAGGATCCTCTGTGGAACCAGGTGTGAGAAACAAAACCGAAGCGGAACCCCCTGCCAATGCCGAACCTCTCCGATAACATCTGCCCCAATGATGCTGATATGTGAAGCTCAGATGCATGTTAACCCTTTTGCCCTCATAACAGCCCTGAGAAGGAGATATTACCAATCCCATTTGTGAAGCAGGAACTGAGGCTTGCAGAGGTTACCTCAGTTTTGCAGCTGATGGAGAAGAGCGGGATCTCTCAAGGGAGAGGCGGTACCACGCTGGACTGCACAGGTACGGCCGAGGGAGGCACTCCAACGGCTCTCCTGTCCCAGCTGTCTCCTGGTGCCCTGGACACCTCCTCCCTGAGCTCTGAGTACAGACTCACAGCACCAACAAGGCATCAGAGGCCCCAGGGCTCCACACTCATCATTGGCAGTCTGTGCTTGGATGAGTCACTTGACCTCTCCAAGTCCAAGTTTTGTCCTTTGGGAAGAGAATTCCAGGTGGGTCTGTACACAAGCTGGAGTCCAGCTCCCAGCCCTGACCAAGTGTTCCTCACTATGCTTACAAGCATCTCAACAGGGACTCACAGCCTGAGCAGAGGCATCCCGAGCTACTTGCTTCCAGCTGCCCAGGAGAGGAGACGCCACCCAGACCTGTTGTGTTCCCTGCACACACTGAAATCCCAGGGGTTGAGGCCAAGCCCTCTGGACAGCCCTCCACAAACATGTCTAAGCATCAAAATCACTGGAAGTTTCCCAAAATCCAGATGGAATAAGACGCTGTAAGCCAGGGCCTGGGAATCTTGAATTTTCTCCTAACTGTGATCCCTGCTTATCCTAGGACTTGTGTGCTAGAAGTGGGGAGTGTGTTTCACCTGAGTGGAGTGAGGAAGAGGCCAGCAAGGGCCCAGTATGTCCACATGGCTGTTTGTGACAACACAGAGACCCAAGGCGGGTTTAGGGTTGTGTTCAGAGACGAAATGGACAGACCAGGATGAGGAGGAGAGACCAGGATCGGTTTCCCACCTGTATGGGCGCAAGCCCAGCTCCCACATCCCTCCCTGTCCAGGCCTCAGCCAGACCTACCTGTGTGTCACTGAGAGCCCGATGTCCCTTCGTACCATCTGTGGGGACCCATGTGGGAGATCTGTAGGGAAAGAGGCAGGTGGGGCAGTGTGGGTGCCCTGCCCTGGAGAGCTTGTGCTGTGGCCTTCTGTGTCAGTGGTCACAGACTAGATATGGCACGGTTATTTATTGTCCAGGAGAGAAACGTTTCCCTGAACTATGTCAATTAGCACAGGGAAAGGTCACGTTAGACCGAGGGGGCAGTGAGCAGGCAGGCTCCTGGGTGTAACAGCTTCTCCAGCGAAGGTTACTGCCTCACCTCAGCAAACAGCTCCGGCTGCCATCTCTGCGTGGACTCAGGCTTAAGAGGCCGAGTAAGGTTTAAGGTAGAAGTCTCCACATGCCCCATCTCTCCCACTCCCATGGATAGATCCACATATCACCACTGGGAAAGGCTTTATTCCAGGCACTTGTATTGAGTGGGTGGAAGCCTTCTAACCTTTGGTTGGGAAGCACCAGGAGACTATTCCTCTGAGAGCCTTCACTGCCAGATCTTGGCAGGAGTGAAGCTGAAGCTTTTAAACTTCCTCATGGGAACCACCCACTGGGCAGGCCTCCGGCACGCTGTCTCTCTGCTGAGAGACATCCTCTGCCTGCCTTCCCAGTAGGCATCCTGGGCTCTCAGCCTCTCAACCCTGGATTCACCAAAAGCACTGGTGCCCAGTGTTTATGGCATGACTGGCGTGGGCAGTGGAGGAAGGACAAGGAGCAAAATCTCTTCATCCACAGTGGCGGCCTCATGTATACACACACATACACAGCCGCACTTCTCTCACTCACTCACTTCTCATCCTGTCTCCTCTTACTCCTCACACTGTCTGTCTGTGCCCACAACAGTTCTCCAGTGGTCTATCCATGGGAGACTAGGGGAGATGGGGCATGTGGAGACGTCCACCCTAAATCTTGTTCTGCCTTCTGCCACGCAGAGGTGGCAGCCAGAGCCATCTGCTAAGGTGAGGCAGTAACATTTGCTGGAGAAGCTGTCACACCCAACAGCCTGCTCACCGCTCCCTCAGTCTAATGCGACTTTTCCCTGTGGATTGATGTCGTTCAGAGAAACATTTCTCTCCTGGCCTATGAACCCTTTGGAGTGGTTTAGCAGATTGTTGTGGATTTTTTTTCCCAGAAAAAGGGTCTAGACCTTCATCCAATTATCAAAAGGACCCCATGATCTAAAAAGCTCAGGATACAGGGTGACCCCCGAATCTTGAGTGCTGACCTGTCACACAGCTGGTGCTATCTCACTTAAGGTCAAGCCCACAAACCAAACCACAAGGAGAAGGGGGTGTTGGGACATCTCCTCTCAAACCAGAGGGAGTCCTGATCGGCACACAGATGGCCCTTGTGTTTCCCTGACCTGGAAACCCACAATCACCTGCAGCTCTCTCTGGAATATCTGCCATGAGCAGGGCTGACTTGCCCCAACCTGTTCCTAGGGCCCACTCCAACTCAGCAGTCAAAGCAATCAAAAACAGGCTCACCTGGAGGTCTCAAAATAGGCCGCCAGCCTGAGAGACAGACTATGGGAAAATGAGACTCCAGTCATCCAGATCTCTAAGCATGCTATGATCAATTAGTAATGCCTGCCACCGGCAAGGGCTGTGAGCACTATGCCAGGTATCACCTATCTGTGATCTAGATGGAAATAATGGCCCTGAAGGCCTCACTCTCCCTTCCCAACAACCCTGGGAAGCAGCTTCACTAAGGTGGTCCTGGGCATTACTATGACAATTGGGAGGATGAGGCCAGGGCTCTCTTAAAGCTGGAGATGTTACATTCTCCTCCAGAGTCAGAGTCCTAGAGAGGAGAATGTGCAGCTTTCTCCTCCCTACTCTCCAGGCCATCCTAGATGTTCCTGCAGCCAGCTTCACTTCAGTAATTACTGCTTATGGTGCTCCCTCCTCATCCCTGAGACCCTGCGGACAGACACTCACTCTCTTAGCCAGTTCTGGACAGAACCAAAATAGACTGCTTTTGGCTCAGGCAAAAAACATTCCTGCTCAGAGAATTAAAAGCAGAATCAAGAGACACAGCTGTTTCCCACAGCCCTGACTCACTAAAGTGAGCCCCACAGGTAGCCTGGTACAAGAAGGTTCTCTCAAATGGGATGGGGGCCCTCATTCAAAGTCAGTTGCATTCCTGCCTCGAGGGGAATACTCCTCTCCTGAAGACAAGCTCCTAAGAAATTGGCTGGGGTTGGAGGATGGAGAGAATCCACTGAAACCAGAGAGATGGCGATTCCCTCACAGAAGCATCTCCTGGTCTTGGCACCAAGCAGGTGAATTCTCCCTGCCCGAGGCTGCCTGTGGAGAGGGCAGGGTGCCCAGGGGCTCGTCACGGGCTGACGTGGACTGAGATACTCAAGCTTTCCACCTCCCAGAGAGCCTGATTCTAAGGCTTGAATGCCTCCTGTCCCAGAACTATTTTCTGTGGTGTTTGCCAGCACCTCTGCTTCTGAGCTCCCAACAGGACTAAGTGTGACAACAAAATCCACCCCCGATGGGGACAGCAACACAAGTAGCAGAAGAGACGAAAATGAATCACTCTTACCAAACCTGGAAGAGACAAAAAGGAGAGAAAAGGATTACAGGTCACCATGCTGGCTCGGTGTGTGCCCTAGACCAGTGCCCCAAGAGGGTGCAGGGTTGCGAGGCTCACTGAGCAAAGGTGGAAAAGTCCCGCAGTGTTTGTAGGAACCAGCTTCCTCAATGGCCCACCCTGCCCTCTCCCTGTGGACAGACAGCTGCACTCTGAGCTTTGCACTTTCAGATATGAGCTCACCTAGGCCTCACCAACCCCCAGCATGCATACTGCAGTTCTGCCCATTTCACAGCTGAGGAAACTGAAGCTCAAAGAGGTTCAGTGAGAAGGGATGCCCTGGCAATAGCCCTGGGAAGGATGGACACCCAGGGCCCTGGCAGGAAAGGGGTCCGTCTGCAGGAGAGAATGAGACTGGGGCAGGAGGAGCGAGGAGAACAGCTGTGGCAAGCAGAGAGTGGTCCCCAAGGAGGGACAGGCAGGGACAAGCTGGGAGCAGTGTCCTCCCCAAGGGTGAGGAGAGGAACCTCAGTCTGCCCTCAGGTCTTGTGAAGGACAACGAGGTGACCTGTGGGGCAGTGTCTTAGGGTCTGAGGCCCAGCTCACCATCAGTGAGCTGAGGCAAGGCTGTTGTTCTCTGCCTCGAGTACAGGAAGGAGACCAGAGTCCCTTCCTCACACTCTTTTTAGGAGAAAAGAGAAACCAATGGTTCTGCCCTCTGTGACACCCTGACAGGCATGGGACACATGTTGGTCATGACTATGCCTACTGAGAGTCCAGGGGACAGGGGAAGGTATCCAGGCCTCAGCAGGAGAGCCTGATCAACTGGCAAAGTCAGGGGGTCCAGCATGGCTTTCTCTACTTGGTGGCACACTTGAAATCATCAGGGTGGTCCAGGCTTTTACCCATGAAGTGCTCAGAGTAGCCTGTGTCAGCCCATTCCGCAAAGTGACACCAAGTCTCCATAAAGACCAGGGCCCAAAGAACCTCTCTCATATCTGGAGAGAACCCAGCTTCCCCAACCCTCAGGGTACGAGAGGGTAAGAGGTGCCCACAAGCCCCCTCCTATCCTGCTCTGCACACAAGAGTCTGCCAGGGTCATCTTAGTAAAAACAAGAAAAACATGATTTAAATGCCCATCAAGAACAGCTTACTTAGACACATTCTACATGGGAATGATAAGCAACAGTTACAATGAGTGAGGTCATTGGAATAACTATAGATACAAAGCTGATCATCTGGTTGCCTGAGAGGGAAAATGATAGATTGGAGGAGAAATACACATACACACAAACCCCAGTGGTAGGGGGGCAGTACAGTCTTTACTGTGTACCCCTACTAAAACTAGAAGAAATGAGCCACAATGTGTTTATACCATGTGACCGTCATCTATTTTAAACACATTGATTAAAAACATTTTTTTAAAAACAATGAAAGAAGAGAATAAACATGATGCAGCAATACAAAGTTCACAGAGATTCCAGGGTAAATTGAGAAAGCAAGTTCAAGGCTAGACAGAGCTCATAGCACATAAAACCTGTGAATGCTGGAACCTGTGTGTGCCAAACCTGTCAGAGAGGGAAATCGCAAATGTTTTCCAGTGACAGAAATGTGGGAACACTGCATCCTTTCAAAGGTGGAACACTTGTGAGATCCAAAAACTAACGCAGTTCTGTCAAGTGCCGGCTTTCATAGACTTCACTGCATTTGATAGTCATGGATGGTTTTAACTAAATATTCTAAGTCCTTCCCTTTTGGGCACACAAGAGAATTACATTTCTTAGCTCCTTTGTTTAGATAAGGGCAGAAAAAGAGAGTAGAACATTGAACTGCCACTACAAAACATCTAGGATTCTCTGTTCCTTCTGCCACGGTAGCCGGCAATGTTCTAGATAGTGACTATTCTGTTGGCCTGGGACCTGGAGCAAGAATGACTCACCAGGGACAAGTCAGCATGAGCAACAAGTCCATCTTAGCTGTTTGAAGACTGAGAAATTTGGGGGATGTTTGGTACTTGCAGCAGAACCCAGCCCTCTCCATGACTGAGACATGGTGGCATTTCAAAGTTTGCTGATAACCAATTTTAAAATCTCCTATGAGAATGTGTGTCTTGAGTGTGTGTGAGAGAGAGTGAACGTGTATGAGTGTGCTTGTATACAGAGAGGAGTATAGTAGGGTTCAGTCCAATCTCTTACAGAAGTCTGGGAGCAGACTGAGATGAGGAGCTCTCCCTGTTTACTCTGCAGACTTCTATCTTGGTTGACTGGCTTGTCCTTTTTGTATCAAAGCCTATTACACCATTACAATTAGAAAACCGCAATCAAAACTTTCAGGAGCAGGCAACCTCAGCACCCAGCAGGCAGGGACACTCACCTCATTGGGGAAACCTCATCAATGCGGTTCCCCAGCTGGGACTCATGGGACTTGCTCCGGGTGAGCGTAGGGAAGCTGGGCAGCAGCTGGAAGACCTTGCGGCTGGGTGGAGGGGGTGTCCGTGGTGGTTTCAGCTTGGTGTGCCGGCGCAGCTGTGGCGTGGTCGGGGGCGTGATGAAGCTATGTAGGGTGCGGGGTGTCAGCCGGCCACTGGCGTGCAGAGGGATGAAGGTGTCCAGGAGACCTTCGCTGGAGCCAGGGGCTGGGGAGTCCGTGGTGGGCAGAGCTGACACAGAGATGGAGCGTGGGCCCTGGGCACTGCTGCCCACTCTGCCCAGCTGGGGTAGAGCCCAAGGCAGGTTGGCTGGTGAGAGTGTGTCTGTGGAAGGGCCCGAGCCACTCTCCCGCCGGGCATCCATTGGACTCCAGCCTGATTCTTCTCTGTGTTCCCCTCCTGTGGGCCAAGAGGTTGAATCACAGCTGGTTGTAGCTAGAAGGGACTAATGGGTCCAGAGAAGTTAAGCATTGTATCCAAGGTTGCACAGTTCCCTAATGGAAGGGGCAAGAATCCTTCAACTATTGTTGTTACCTGGTTCATAAAGGCCTCTCATGCATTACCTTACACATATAGCTAACCGGAGGCCACCAGGGTAGATATTACCGTCCCATTTTACAGAGGAGGGACGTGAGGCCCAGAGCCAGGGGATGATGTATACAGTGCTCTTACTGGCAGGTCTGGGAGGACTGAGGAGGGAAGCTCCACCACCCTAAGGTGGGTGACCTCAGGAAGGGAAGTGTTGATGACTATTAAGAGTTAGAAAATGGGAGCTGGGGTATGGAAGATGGGAAGGCTGCTCCCCTCTTCTAGTAGTAAACTGCCTTTGTGCAAAGTGGGACCTTGCTACCAAGGGTCCCGGCCACTTCCCTTTGTAAGGAGTCTAGAACGACTGTCACCACCCCTCCACCCCCACCCCTACCAACATCCTCATGGCTCTGTGGTGTTTGAGCTTCTAGCTCAATGGCACAGCACCTCCGTTCTGGTATCTGCTAGGTACTAGGTATAAAGGCAGGAAAAAGGCATGTCCCCTGCCCTTGCGGAATCTAATGGGGATGACAGACGCTTGGCATCATATGCTGCATGGACACAGAGGACAAAGATCCTAAATTAGCCAAGAGGTCTGAGAAGACTTCCCCTGAGGTGGTGGGATCTGAGCTGACTTTTGTGAGATATACAGAAACCTGCTAGGAAAGACAGAGGAAAAGGTATACCAGCCCATGGAAACAGCACATGCAATGATGAGGCATATTCTAATAACCACAGAGTTTCATGTGCCCTGAGAAGTCAGGACTAGCCAAGACAAGCACGAATTAGAGTTGGAAGAGTCCAGCCCAACTGGGGTCAGTTCAGAAAGGGCCTTGGCTATCTTGATAAGAACATCAGATTTGACCCTGTAGGAGTCAGAAAGACAGAAAAGACGGTGTCCTACATCCTACAGATGTCCAAGGGGCTGTCATGGGGAAGAAGACGAGTCTACTCTCCCTCTCTTTTCATGCTTATCAATGAGTGGAAAGTGCAGGAAGGGAGATTATGACTCATAATAAAAGGAACCTCCACACTGGATTCCTTCTACTAGATGCTTTCTATATGGTCTCCCTCAATCCCAGCAGCCCTGTTCTCCCCATGGTACAAGTGAGGTCACTAAGAACAGAGAATCCATGCATATTGGCCAACGTCAGACAGCTAAGTATGTGGTGGAATGGGACCTAATCCCCTCTACCTCTTCCAGTATAACTATCAATTTTCAATAATCTTCAGTGGAAGAGTCTGGGGAAGAAATGAGCTCTCTGTCATCAAAGGTGATTAAACTGAAGCCTACAGAGCCATTTAATTAGGGATGGTGGAGAAGGGTTAACCTTCACAACTTCTCTGTACAACTCGACCTTTTTTCAAATACCCCTCCTCTTCCTTCACTGGTGACTTTCTCTTCACCGACTTGGCAGAAAGTGGTTCTTATCCTCTGCCTCCACACTGCTTGCTCTTGAAGCGCCACATCTTACGTTTTTATTGATATATGGCCTATTTTGTTGTTGTTGGTAAGTGCTTATCAAGTCAGTTCTGACCCATAGCGACCCTGTGTAGAGCTAGTGCCAAAATAAGTTACTGAAAACCCCATGGTGCACAGTTCTGCTCTGACACACATACTGCCATAAGCTGGAGTCAGCTTGATGGCAAATGGTTTATGGGAAATCCTAAACCCATGTTTCTTGTTAAACAAATGAAAGACTTCCCTGAACCCGTAAATATAAACCTATTTGAAGCAATCAAAATTGCCAAGGGCAAGTCTGCCACTAAAACTAAATAAATCCAAATTCCTTACATATGAGCCAGCTCAGGGACAACAAATGGGCCATGATTTGCAAGCTGTTGTTGTTGTTGTTAAGTGCCATCGAGTCGGGTCCGACCCATAGCGACCCTGTACAGGGTTTCCGAGGGTGTAAATCTTTACGGGAGTAGAAAGCCTCATCTTTCTCCCGCGGAGCGGCTGGTAGTTTCGAACCGCTGACCTTAAGGTTCGCAGCCCGATTCGTAACCACTACGCTACCAGAGCTCCTTAGCACCAGACAAATGGCAGTTACTGCTTGAGAATGTTGCTGGGGTCACCAAGAAGGGAAGAATTCATGGATTGATTAGTAATGTCTGCCACAGATGAAGGGCAGGGAGTATCCGCAAGAATGAACCCCTACCCATACACACCAGCCACTGGCACAGAGGACCATCCTCCACACACCTTTCTTAAGAACAGTGACCTCAAGGGATAATACGTCAACATTTTCCATCACCTCATAGACCTAACAGCAAAAAGAATATCTACTATGTGCCAGGCCCTGGCCTAACAAAGCATATTAACTTTACTCATTTAATCCTCACAACAACTCCGGTTTTAGTTGCTATTAATGTTGTTGTTGTTATGTGCCGTGGAGTCAGTTCCAACTCACAGTGACCCTGTACAGGGTGTCCGAGGCTGTAAATCTTTACGGGAGTAGAAAGCCTCATCTTTCTCCCACGAAACAGCTGGTAGTTTCGAATTGCTGACCATGAGATTAGCAGCCTGAGTCGTAACCACTACACTACCAGAGCTCCTATGTTTTCGTTGTTAAGTGCTGACAAATCAGTTCCAACTCTGTATAGGGGTTCCAAAGCTATAAATCTTTGTGGGAGCAGAAAGCCTCTTATTTTCTTCCAAGGACTGGCTGATGGGCTCAAACTACCAACCTTGTAGTTCGCAGTCAAATGCTTATCCTATGGAGCCACCATGTTCCCCCACAATAACCCTAGGTGAGAGATTTTTTTATTATCCCTATTTTACAGATGAGAAAAGCAAGGTACAGTGAGGTTAAGTAACTGGTGAAAGGTCACAGGACTTCTAAGTGGGCACAAGTCTGGTTTCAGAGTTCATGTTCTTTACTGTGACACTAGCCTGGCTTTCCACAAGGCCTGTCAGGATGCAATGAACACCCAAGTAATGGAGGTGGTCGTTTGTACCCACCCGTTCTCCAACAGGTGCCCTTGATGTCAGCTACCTCTGGGCAGACAGAAGGCCTGCGTCCTGGACCAGCACTCTCTCAGGGTGGGAAGGGTACCACAAACAAGAGCCGAACGAGCAAGACAGAACCTGGAAGAGCCCCCCTTCCCAGGGCCTCGTCCTCTGAGGGAGAAACCAGAGTTCCTCTGCCATGTGTCAGGTTCGAGCTCCGACACCATGCACCCAAAGCTTCTGATGCTAGATGGCTTAGCTACACCATAAGCTTAAGAACACCCGCTTACAAAGTGTTGCTGCAGTGTGTGCCAAGTGCCTGGCCCAGTGTTTGACCCCAGTTATTGTTGTTAAGTGCCATCGAGTTGGTTCCGACCCATAGCGACTCTGAACAGGGTCTCCGAGGCTGTAAATCTTTACGGGAGTAAAAGCCTCATCTTTCTCTTGCGGAGCAGCTGGTAGTTTCGAACTGCTGACCTTGCAGCAGCTGGCAGCCTGATTGGTAACCACTACGCTACCAGAGCTCCTTTGGCCCCAGTAGGTGCTTCATAAATCAACGATTACCCTCCTCCCCCCCCCCCCCCCCCCCCCCCCCCACACACACACAGAGGCATCCAGGACAGGCGAGGAGGAGCATTATCACACAAATGACCCTCACACTCAACAGCTGGCTCCTCTACAAGTCTGCAAACACCAGGCATAGGGAGCTGGTAGGGGGCGCTGGCAAGTCACCCTGAATATTCCACCTTCTATCTTTTTACATGGTGAAAACCACCCTACTATTGCCAAGGCCAGAGGCTCAAATCCCGGCTCAGTCACTGGCTGGCTGTGGGCTCTGTGAAGTGGGATGAGGTGCTGACTACAATTCAGTCATATTTACCTCCCAGCCCCTGGCAGGAAACCTGGCATGTTGAGATTTTCTAAAGTGAAAGAAGCATCGTTCTACACAGTGCTCTGGGTTCAGAGGAAAACTTATTACAATGGGCCCAGGGAAGAAATGAAGCCCAATTCTCTCTGGGGGGGGGGAATCAAGCTGAATATAAACCTCAGTCCCTGCCTTAAGCTCCAAGCAGGCGGAGATGAGACAGGTGGTTCCTATCATGAAAACCCAGGGCTAATTCTATTCATTAGAGTTATTTCGATGCCTTCTGTGCATGGTAGTCAGAGCAGTAAGGCAGGCACTTGAAGCCATTTCCAAGGCAAGATTCAGAAAGCCTGCAAATGATTCCAAAGGAATTCCTCATAATGCCAGGATTATATACTTTGCCAGGGACATGCCCTGTACATGCTCCCAGAGGAAAAGCGGCATAATTTCTCTAATCAGGGTTGGCTCTGGCTAATCCCCAATCAGCAAGTACTTTCTGAACACACAGTCCAGCCAGCATTGGGGCTGGGGCTGGGTGAGGGCTGAGGGGTTGGAATGCAGAAAGCTGGTGGAGGCTCCACAGGGTCCAATGTATACACTGAACCGAGGGCCCACCCTGGCACACTGGCCTGGAATTTCTAGCTACGTCTCACAAATGCTTCCCTGGGTTTGGATGTCCAGATCAGTGGGAACCCAAGTACTTAAAGACTCTCTTTGGTCAGTTCTATCACACGCTTTCTGAACATTGGTGCAGGCCTTCTGTCACCCCACACTACTGACCCCTCCTCTCAGCCCCCAGGGAGCCCCTACCTACCCAGGCCTGTCACCTTCCGAAGGCAGGTGAGGGCGTACTGCAGGCGGCCGCATTCCTCCGTGCTGGCCCCACAGCGCCGCAGTGTCTCCTTTACCTTGGCCTCGTTCATGTCCAGCAGGGCATCTAGCGTGAGCTCGCTGGGGATCTCCTGAGGGAGAGGCAGAGAGACAGACGGGTGAGCAGTCAGGCAGGCCTGAGTGTCCTCGTCATCCAACCAGGCCTCCCTGCTGAGTGGCAGGGGCCAGCTGCGGCCTGGGCTGGGCCCCAACCAGGGGCCACCACTTGTTTGAGGACAGGCAGTGAGCTCTCACCCATCCCCCTCCCCCTCCCAGAGACAGCAGCTGAAGCTGCCTTCCAGAGCTCCAGGGCCAGGGTGGGGAAGGAGGGAAACAAGAGCTTTGAGGAGGGCATGGTGCCCCTTTGTTTCCTCTGCACAGAGAATACATGAATCACAACTTTCTAAAGACAAGTACTTCCAAGAAAGGTGTCCTCTGCCAATTCTATTGAATTTTGGATCAGACAACAGATTTTAAGAAAAAAACAAAACTGGCTTATCACAAGAAGGATAAATAAATAAAAGCACTGTGTAGGCACTTAATACCTCACCTTATTTAATTCTGTCAAGTCTTTTATTCGGCTCACTTGATGGCGGGAGCAGTTTGGTGAGGTTACGTTACCTGGGCAAGTGTTGTTGTTGTTGTTATGTGCTGTGGAGTCGGTTCCGACTCATAGTGACCCTGTACAGGGTTTCCAAGGTTGTAAATCTTTATGGGAGTAGAAAGCCTCATCCTTCTCCTGAGGAACAGCTGGTAGTTTTGAACTGCTGACCATGAGATTAGCTGCCAGATTCGTAACCACTACGCCTAAAAGGAAGGAGCTCTGGTAGTGTAGTGGTTATGAATCGGCCTGCTAACCTCAGTGTCAGCAGTTCAAAACTACCAGCTGCTCTGCGGGAGAAAGATGAGGCTTCCTCCACCCATAAAGATTTACAGCTTCGGAAACTCTGTACAGGGTCGCTACGAGTCGGAACCAACTCCACGGCACATAACCACCACCACCACGCTAAGAGGAAACATGTGCCTCAGAGAGTTACTCCTGCGATTATTACATTATATGGCAAAAGTGAACATTTCCAGGGAGGCCTAAACTCATCATGGTGGTGGTGTGCCACCAAATCAATGCTGACTCATGGTGACCCTGGATAGGGATTCAGAGGTTGTTAAGTCTTCTTTACAAGAGCAGAAAGCCTCATCTTTCTCCCATGGAGCAACTTGTAGATACAAACTGCTGAGCTTGTGTTAGCAACCCAGCTTGTAAGGCTACCAGGGATCCATAAATTAACCATTAAGAGCTCTTTTAAAACAGTTTTCTGTGGATACTAGTGGAGAAGTCAGAGAAATTCCAAGTGGGTGCTGTTGCTGACTCTGAAGGAATGTGAGAAACCCCTGGCTCAGAGCCAGCAATGAAAGGGGGCCTTAGACTTAAAGCCACAAGTTATACTGCATTCTGCCTACAGCCTGAATGAACATGGAAGGGTGATCTTCCTCAGAGCCTCCAGGTAAGAGCCATGGCCAACAGGCTAACTTCAGTAATCTGAGCTCCTAAACCAGGGACCTAGCCTACACTTAGCTCTTCCCTGGGGGGTTAGCAAGAATTTTAAGCTTCTAAACTTGTGGCAATTTGTTGGGCAGGAATAGGAAGCTACTGCAGAGTGAATATTCGAGTCAAGGCCTAACTGGCCTCAAAGCTTGTGTTCTTGGCTCTCAGCAAGGAGGGAGGAAACCCCTCCCGCTGTGACTGAGCCAGGTATGGAGCCCAACAGGATGTGTCCTGGCCTAGACTGGCTTGTAGTTTGGTGGAGGTGACTGTTATGAAAACAATGACAAAGTAAGAATAAAGGGGTGAGAACAGAGAAAGCGCAAAGGGCTAGGAGACCCAATGGTGAGGCCAGAATTTTTTATCCCCTTCCTTTTTTCTTTTTTAAAAATTTCCACATTTTCTATAACAGAGGTGGCCCAACATCTCACAATAAATGACTCATACAAAGCTCATGGTTGTTGAGAATCTAAGTTGGTTTTCAGTGATTTTATAAAGTTGTGTCTGATTTCCTTTAAAGAGAGTAATTTTACTATCAGGCAATTCAAGCTGCTGTAGATTTGTCCAAACTGTCAAAGCTGATGAAGACGATGGCTGCGAGTCCTTAGGGCACTGGAAGGGGGCTTTGTAAGGTAAACTCACTGGGCTGGCTCATGAAGCCCTGGAACCCCAACATTGTAGGGCCTGGTCGGATGGATATCTTTCTGTTTTATCCACAAAGTCTTCAGTCTGCAGGGCTGAAGGCAAGAATCTCATCACTGTTCAGAATGATTCACACCAACAATAGATGCACATACATGCACCAGAAAGTTTATCACTGGTTGGATAAATCCTTGGGCTGTCAGAACCCCTTCCAGATGAGAAACCCGAAGCATCACAGGAAGCCGCTGATAACAACAGCACAGAGAGGGGAGGCTGATTAGATAATGGTCCCAACGGCAGATGCGTTTTATTCAATAAGCATGTCTTCAGCAATTCTTGTTCGTGGAAGTGAGGTTTTGACATCTTTTTCCCCTATTGACTATGAAAAGCAATTTGACCTTACTGGCAGGCAGGGCGAAAACAAACAGGAGGGATGTTGACCTAACACCCCACTGCAGAAAGCATCCCTCCGCCTTTCTGTGGCAAGTCCTCAGTGGTCACACCGCACATGCACATTTTCCCCAGGCTGTGATGGCTCAGCCGTTTTCTGGAAAAGGAGAGGTTCCTGTAATCTCCAGATCAACGTCCTAATGACAGATAACTTGTACTTAAGAATGGACTGCCATGAAACCTACTGCATTCGAATTTTGAGTGAAATCCAGTGGTTCATAATAACGGCGCGTGTTCTACTTGTGACACTCCTGAAAACACTGTGCGGCTTTGACAGTTCCTCGGCTTACGGAAGAAGGACACAGTCTTTTAAACCTTTTAAGACACGCCATATTGCCGTTAACATTGTTGAGTGTGTAATTTTGTATTTGGCTTAAGGTTTCCTTTATTTAGCCTTGTAACTACGCCTCCAAATAAACCCATAATCCAATGCATGCATTGAGGATGCATCAAAGAAAAGGAAAGTGATCAGGATAGAAAATAAGTGGTAATAATAAAGCGATCAGAAAGAGATGAAATGTCATCAGTCATTAGAAGAGTATTAGGCTACAGTCTGCCAACAATTGCAACATTTTTAAAGGATAAAGTGAGAAATGGAGCATGTTTCGGGCTCTGCCCTGAGAAAAGCTACAATTACTACTAACCACCATGGTGCTTTATTATTGAAAAGGAAAGGCAATTGGTTAGACGATCAAAAGCAGTGTAATATGCCTATTAATCTTAGTGCAAGAAAAGGAGTAAAGCCAATGATTTAAAAGTTGCATGTGTTGAAAGTGATTATGAAGGTGATTATGAAGAAGAATTTGTTGCAGGTAGGGACTGGTTCACTTGTTACAACGTGAGGAAAAATCTACATACTATTAAGGTGCAAGGTGAAGTACTGAATGCCCATTAAGTGCTGCCAAGAGATTTTCCTGAAATGTTGAAAAATATTATTGAGAAGTGAAGTTCTTTAACAGACCAAATATTTAATGTTGGTGAGAATGGCTTATTTGGGGGGGGGATGGGGGGAATGCCTGAAAGGATCTACATTTCAAAAGAATTCAAAAATGCATCAGAGCAGAGACATTGAAGGATAGATTAAATTTACTACTGGGGGAAATGTAAACTGGAGATTTCTAGATCAAACCTTTGTTTGTATGTTGATGTTGTAATGTTGTTAAGTGATGTTGAGTAGATTCTGACTCACAGTGATCCTGTATAGGGTTCCCAAGGAGTTGCTGGTGGATTTGAACCGTTGACCTTGCAGTTCAACTCAACCTTGTGGTCTAGTGCATTATCCTGCACACCAGTGGATTTTGGGTTTGTGTTGTTGTTCCTGTGAAGTGCCATCGAGTCAGTTCTGACCCATAGCGACCCTGTATAGGATTTCTGAGGAACAGTTGGTGAGCTTGAACCACTGACCTCACCTCAGCTGGTGAGTTTGAACTGCAGTTCAAACGGCTTTGCAGTCTGACGCATTAATCCACAGCGCCACACCAGGACTCCTAGGGTTTGTGTACCACTCCCTAAATCCAAGGGTACTTCACCATAGCACTGAGGCATAATTTCCCATTATCTAGAGGGCAAATGCAAACACTTGGGTTGCAACTGTCATCATTGAAGATTGGCTCTTGAACCATTTGTCTTGACCAATAAAATTCCTTTCAAGACTCTCCTTGTGCTTGACAATACACCTGGACATCCAACCTTCACTCCATAGTTGTACCCCTCAACACCACATCACTACTTCTGCCAATAGATAGGGAATCACAGCCTCCTTTTGTTGTTAGTGCCATAGAGTTGGTTCCATCTCACAGCTACTCTGTATAGGATTTCTGAGAACTGGTGGGTTTGAACCACTGGCCTTGTGGTTAGCAGTCCAATGCTTACCCAACAGCATCATAGCTAGATTCCCTAGCTTCCTTAAAGGCCTATTATTTACAGCCAACCTTCTCATAAATAGTTAGGGCTACCCAAGATAATGTGATGACCTTAATAGAGTTCTGGAGGAATTGTAACATCTAGAATGCCATCAAAAATATTGCTGATTCCTGTGATGAAGGAAGCAGTCAGATATGAAACCATGTCATTAACTTGCACAGGCTTTTCAAGAATTTACAAGCTAAGGACATTGCCAAAGCCAAGCAGACATTAGCTGACATTGGTAATCAACTACAGCAAGACATCAGTGATAATGATGCTGTAGTTACTCGACTTCCATACTGAAGAAGGAACCAGTGAAGACCTTATGGAACTAAAGCAGCAGAAGATAACATCTGAAGATGAAGACCGGGACCCAAAACGCCAGAGCCAAATAAATTTTTGAGGAAAGAGTTAGCTGAAGCTTTTTGTTTCATTGAAGTAGGGATGGCAGCATTAAAAAATCAAGATCCTAAGACAGAGACGTTGACCAACGTCTAAGGTACAGATACGGAGGGCCTCGGTGTCTACAGGGCCATTTATGTCGAGAAAAAGAAA